CACAAACAGCCTCTCGACAATATGCGTTTTTGCTGCGCCAGCAAAAACGCATAACAGATTGCACAATAGCGAAGCGTGGAGGTAACGTGATTAAAAATAGAGTATCTCTAACTTGCCCCTTTTCACCATTTACTGAATCATCTTCCACTCCTGTTTCGTCGATGTTCGCGGATTCAGTATTCGAAACTTGATCATTCTGGTGTTCTAAAGAGTTACTGTGATCAAATATCAAAGTCTCCTTCCAAAAATATTTGACAAATTGATTAATCAAGAGTGATACGCACCAAGGTTGCCGGTGCGATCATGTGTTTTTTATGATTCCATGAGAGAACGCCTGTACTGGGTATGGCTGCCGTGTTGCACTTCGTGTTCAGTACATTTATGCACAGTGGGTATGCCTGAGCAGAAGTTCGTTTTGTGCTTGCATATGAACAGCAAACATTCTCAAAAAAATGCTGCTTCCTGTTCAGTCTGGTTACCGAATAAACTGAACATCAACAACGCTCCAAATTAAATTTTATTTGAACGCATGCGACACCTAGGGTGGCTTTAAAGCTGAATTTGAAATATTTAGTGGTGATTTGCCAAACTGAAGCCTACATAAAATTTCTCTTAATAAGACAAAACGCTTTGTCGTTTGAGCAGCAGCACAGTGGCATAACCACAGCTGTACAGATTAATTAAATTCTTACGATTCTTCTAAATCCACGATCTGGAAAACATGGCTTGTTTTACTGGCAACAGGCTGATACCCTAACCACCGACTTTTACTACGGAGAAGAAAAACACCACAATGACGTCGACCACATGGTTTTTTATAACGTAATACGAACAGTGATTGGCCTCCGGGTCTATGAGGGGAGAATCTCACACAGTTTTGTTCATCGTACTGTGACGTTGCGGCACTGAGGATTACCACTTTAAAGCTTTTTCAAAAGACCCACAGAATACAAAAGTTTCATCTTCATTCCTAGATGCATATATGAAATAAATTCATTTGACGAGAACGACAATAGTATTATCGATTCAAAGTAGTCCAGTAATGGATTGAACCTCTCATTGAGTTTGCTGCCAAATTAGTAATGCTTGTGCTAGCTGTCTGGAACTTAGTCTGTGTATCAGATTCCATACCCGCATTTTGACCCATGTTTTCAGTGAACTTCGACGGGGCGGTTTCAACGGCTGGAGAATTTTCTATGCGAGACGATTCACACTCTGCCAGCGGAGCCTAAAATATTCGCTGATATCAATGATTAACTGAGTAGAGTTAAGAGGCATACATATCGTTGGAAATTTTTTAAAATTTAAGAATCTGTATAAAGCAGGCAGCCTTTTCGGTTTCTTAAAATTCGGCGAGTTGAATAGTTTCATCTGCAAAAATCCGTAATTTAATGGTTTCGCATCGGGAAGAAATGATTCAGGACTTCATAAGTCCTTGAGCTCCAGATTACACTCGACCAACAATCAAAAATATTCAAAATTATTACTCGAGCCGCTTTGATCCGTGTCGAAAGACTTGTCGGTTTGTTGTTGGAGTTTCTACAACTCGGCATGTATATGAGTCTTGTTTGCCTTCCAAGAATATACTCGCCCTCTCCACCATCAAATTCCCCATGGCAGAGATGGTCTGGATACGTTTTATCTAAAATTTGTGTTTTTTAAAACCAGAAAACTGGTCCGGATATACGTTTGTGTGACAAGAAGTTGCAAGAGACCAGTGAGTTAACGGACTAATACGTAGAAAAATTCGTCTTGATTTTTTGAAACTCGCAGCGCGTGAACACCGCAGCAATTTCGGATGTAAAGAATTCTCCATACTGAAGTTTCATACATCTCAGTTTGCACTTAAGGTAGCTTTTGTATTCACAAACAAAATTGGACTCTAAGAGCTATATCACCTCATCCCACCTC